ATGCACCTGCGAGTGTGTGGGATACCCTTAACAGGGGCTTTAGATGGATCCCATTTCTGCCAGAGAAGACCGCCTCACTGGACAGGAGGTTTTCCAGTTTAAACCACCAGGCGCGAATGGTGGTTGCCTCACTCCAGAGGAAAACGTTTTCTTTGGATTACCGATTACCCAAGTTGCATTAAAATCAATACCCTCGAATTGCCGGCGCTCGCTTTACGTTAGGCCACCGATGGGCCCCGGGATCTTCGTGGTGATGAAAATCTCCTCCCGCTTCACCCCCGACTCCTCGCGAATTCCGTATGCCAGCAGTTGGAAAGGCATGAAGGCTCACTTTTGGGAATGACGCGTTGCCTATTTTGAGACATGCCCTCAGCCCCCTAAGCTGCTGAGTGGCCTTGTTTAAATTTGCCCAGAGACATCAAGCCGGGGACCGGTAGCAGCTGTTCTTTCCCTTCATGACATTTTGCGCACCCAGATATCTTTTGCGGGTGCCGGCTGGTTTGGTGGTTGTGCAACTCCTTCGTGATCCTTCGTGCGGTTTCAAAGGGAAGCCAAAAACAAAAGGAAGCCAGCCACATCCTAAAGTTTGAGAAACGCTCGCTGAGCGAACATGCCACAAAATTGGGCGAAACACCGAGGCTCCCCATACAGTTCCCTCAGCGGAACTGCTGGAGGGCTTCTTTTCAGATGCCCGACCCTCGCCTAACACAGGCCTTAACAAGAGCAGAAGCGCTGAACCACTTGGACTTTCAGGGGTCATACGCAAAGTCGAGTTACTGTGAAAACGAGATCGATCTCGCGTTTTTGCGACCTTGATATTCCAGATTCAGGGGACGTCGCATACAAAAGACCACCTTTCCGGGCCTTTTGATTGTAAAGGGCGCGACCCCTCCCCCTCAAAATAGGCAACAACCAATGGCGTGTCTTAAGATAGAGGTTCCCATGAAATGCTTGAAGCAAAGTTCCAACTTTCTGTTTGCCACCGACATGGTCTTCCCAAAAAATGTGAAGTTCATAACTCCGGAGGTGAGTTGTCCTTCAAATGCTCACCAAAAACGGGCTCCGCAATTCTATTTTGAGAAACTCTGCGAGACTCGACGGGAGAACAAACAAAGAAGCGGTCGGACCGGTCCGACCCAAACTCGCCATGCTGGGCTGTCCTCACAGATCTACAAAGCTACTGGAAATCCAACCACTAAACCATTCAAAAGCTGGAAGAGCCTAAGTTCAGTTGTTCAGTGACCCTGGAAAAAAAGGGAACCCTTTTTGGGGAAGACCATTTTTAGTCGTGCAGCCACCCAAAAAACAGGAAAAAGGGTGCCGCTGAACCACTGAATAAGGAACCGCATGGCTGGGAACCACCGAACTCTTCTGGAAACTCTCCAGCGTTCCGTGCCTTAATGGCCTGGCCCACATCCGGCTCCGTGCCGTAGTCGTTGGCGCTGTCGAGGTGACGGCCCCCCAGCTGCAGCCACTGCTTCACCCCATCCTGAAGCTCATCGGTCTCCAGCTGGGACACCCCCCCCATTTTGGAGGTCATCAAAGGGCAGCCAAAAGGACACCAACATAGACAAGTCCCCAAGTCATGAAGCTGATCGATGCCCCAAAACGGGGCCGGCCGAATTTCGCAGGTGCTCAACGTGGTGCACCGTTGACCCCTTCCCCCGTTTTGGATGTTGTTGAAGGGCAACCAAGTGGAAACCAACATGGGCGTGTCCCCAAGTTTGAGAAAGAAACGGGTGAACAACTGCGACTTCGCTCCAACTAGAGCACTGATCATTCCCAAAACGTGACCGGCATAGTAGCCGCTGATTGTTGCATCATCAACTTCAATGGTTTCACCGATAGAGATGATCTGCTATAGGTCATGTGAGTTCTAACGAAGCCTGGCATGGAAGTAGTCTACCATAATGTAAAGAATAGAATCAAAAGGGGCTGGGACTGTCCCTGACTATCCTTCACTTACCCGCTTTGGATTGGGCTCATGTGGCTACGGCTCGAAAAAACGGGTATGGATCGCTCCGCGGTGAATCGGACGTCTGGATCGGGCTGGATCACATGTGTTTTGGTCTGATCTGGGGAGTCTGGATCGCCTTGTTGGCCCATGCACACCTCAAATATTGAGCCGCAGTCATGTAGGGAAAATGCATACAATTTCCTTGAGTTCAGGATGGCAAAGAGGAGAGGAAATGCTCCGCGAACGCTGGCCAGCGAGCATTCGCGCAACGTTGGGAAATAGCTATTGCCAACCAAGTTTGATGTGTTTCCCACACATACAAATGTTTCACAAAATGGTGTGGCGCTAAAGTAGAATGATGGGCTTTCCTTTGGCTACCACTAAGCCAGGGCTGACATGTTCACTTTAAGCACCACCACGCCAACAACAGAGACATTGCAAAATGTTACTATAAAGGTCACTGTTCAGATCGCTCAATGCAAACCTGATGACCCCTGTCATAAGTGATTTTAGGAGTTACCCACTGGCCCTGGTACCAAAAGGGAACCTTGAGAGAAAGCACGCCAACAAAAAGGAAATTCGGGTTCTTGAAAATCCACCTGCTTTAGATTGGGATTCTCCAAAATTGCTGGTGGGGTGATGCTTTGACTGGCAGCTGGTATCCAAAGGGTGACACTAAGGGTTGTCTCTAAGGCGAACTCTGCAAATGGCGCCTTTCCTGGCCTCTCTTTTAACAAACCCCAAAAAAAGGCGACCGACCTCCCAAAAGAGAGACGCTGGTCAACGCAGTGCAGCTCAGGCTCCACCACAGAGCAGTTGGTCAGGGACCCTCTGTAGCTGCCAAATGCCTGGGCGACCCAAGGTTTCTGAATTGGGAAAACAAAGATCTAGGCTCCATGGTGGGACCAACATGCCATTGTGCGATAGCAAGCTGGGTGATCCCTGTGACTTTGTCTGATTTTGCAAGGGCGGCCCCAAGGCGCACTTTTCCCATGGTCCAGGTGATTCAAGCCCCAAGACGCAGTCAGTTAAACTGAATGGCGTGGGAGATTGCGTGTTCGCCTGCAGGGCACTTTGTCTCAGTCTCAAACCGGGCACTTTGTCTCAATTCCCAGTTGGTGGTTTGGAGCCTGGTTTGGTGGTTCAGGAGCAGGTTCCCACTTACCCTCTGCATGACTCCCATGGTTGTGATAGAAACCTTGAAAAAGGGGCGCCCTTCCCCCCCTTAACAAAAAACAAATCTGAAAGCCGCCCCGAGTAGAGAGATTTGTGGGGGGGGGGCCTATTAGGCGCTTGACAACATCTGACAACCAGAGGATCTCTCATAGTCCTGTAGTTGCAGTTTGCAGCGCCTACTTCCGCTCTTCCAGAAAATCCCTAGCTGTCCAGACGCGATCATCGGCATCTTCACCCCAGGGCTGATCTCCACTGTAGGCACATCTGCCACAGCCGGCAGCAGCAAAGCCTCACTTGAGCCACGGCCAAAATCACACAACTTGCCCCACGAGGACATTAGAGTTTATGTACTTGCTTGCGTGGGAAAACTTGAGTCACAATCAAAACCTGCAATTTGCCCTGTCCACACCTTGCAGAACCAAATTTAAAGGCCGGGTATCCACACCTTCATTGATGATCAGGTTTGGACTTCTCCGCACTAGCCTCCATTTCTTCGGGTTTTGATCGTGGCTCACTTGCTCACTGTTCTACGAAAGGGGAATCACAAATGGAATTCCGCAGGCCCCAGAGTTCGTTTTTTGAGCGCCTCTTGACTTGGATGTCTCTCAAAGGGAGGACCATTCATGGATGCCTTTCAATTCACACAAGGCCATAATGATTGTTTGACCAGGGCAAAGTGCAGCCTGGGTAAAGCATGGCAAAGGATGCATTTGTTTGCCTGGCCCCTTTCGGGGTTGACCCATTTTTCCTGCGGAAACCACCCCCCCCGCAAAATAGGATGTAGAGAGTGCCCCTGAACATCCCCTGAACAACCATATACTCAATCAGAGCCACATCAAGAGCCGTTGCGGGCCACGACCATGGGCCGTATCCCTATGGCTCTCCTTACTACTGCCATATCAGGTCGGCTCACTTCGGTGGGCCCAAAACACTGCTTGGAGCTCGGGAGTCCAAGTCACCAATTGGATGAAACAGGTCAGGACCCCCCATGTGCCGTCATCCCTTTTGGTAGATGGTTCCAAAGGAAGACCATTCCCAAAAGGGCGACATCCACTGGGCAACTAGGACCTATGGATAGGACTTCATTATACGGCAATTCATTGAACATGGGCAAACATCGGAACAAACACGCAAAACAACACAAAAACACGCCCTGGTGATGGGTCGTCTTTGGCTGCAAGTGAGAAGCTGCAGCCGCCACCGCGCGCAAGGCCATGGCTTTTGCCGAAAACTGGAAGGTGCTCGCCGCGACAACGGCACTGAGCCCTATCGCACGAGTTGTTCGCGTTGGATGCCATCGACTCTGCGGATGTCCAAGGCATCCCAGGGAGTTGAAGCAGGAACAGCAAGTGTTTGGGGTATGTTATGTTTAAGTAGTTGTGCATGTAGTCATTGCACCGAACAAAGGGTTAAACAAATACACATATATATATATAACACAACAACAAACAAACAACACATCAGACAACTGCAAAACAGTTATATATATATATAACATTATATAACACAACAGTGTGATCTTTCCTGAGTGCAAAATAGGTAGCAAAGAAAAACAAACACAACCCATCCCTTTTGGTCCCCTTCAGGATGCATTAAACTGCATGGGCTATTCTCGGCCCCTGATTTGAAGCTAAACCCCAGTGACATGCGAAGACCGGTGCAAAAAAGCACGCACGCAGCCAAGCTGGATGGGACAGGTTCTCGCCAGATTTCACGACATTACATCCCCCCTCCGTTTTTTAAATATTCCCCACAAAGGGAAAGATGGCGCAAAGGGAATCCCAGGGGCCCTCCCCCAATTCCATGCCGCCTGCATTCGGACATCGAAGAAGCTTCAGCTTCAGATCCACAGGTTTGAGGCCGCCACTGGTGGCGTGTACGCCATGTTGCGATTCCTCAGTCGCGGAATGCGCGTGCAGCTTGTTTAGTGGTCAACCCCTGGCTTCGGATTTCGGATTCCTCCCCCCCCCCCCTGCTCCGCATTTGTTGGGGCAAACAGGGGCACAGGGGCGGGCGGGGGGGTTGAATCCCTAAGCCTTGAGACCTGCGGGATCCTTCCAATGCGAAGACCTCAATGCCGCACCCTAGGTGCATTCCACTTCGAAACGGCGCTTCCGCGCGTTTAAAGCAACTGCAAAATGACAAAACAACCCAGGGGAAAGAACTATACTTTAAACATGGTTTGATTGAGTTGGCTGCCTGAAATGCAGTCCACACCACCGGCTGATGCCGTTCACAAGCAGCACAAACGTGCCCCACAAATTTCTGAACATTGCACTGACTAAGTTTTCAAGACTGGATCTTTTTCCAAGTTCCACGAAACTTCCCTTTGCTTATTCGCCCCCTGGAAAAAATGTGAAAATATGTCCAGTAGTGAAATCAATTCCAACTTTAAAACCAGCAGAGGAAAATAGCACATAGTCATTTCAGCAAATGGAAGTCGACACTCGCCCTCCCCCAGACTAACAGCCGGAAGCTCCCCCAATTGGCCGATCCTGTAAACTGAACATAACTGAACCAAGTCTTCCAAAGGGTTCCGCTCGGGAGCTGCCAACCAAAGGATGCCACTAGGCAACTGAGCTGATCTCGGGTGCCACTGGGCACCCCTGCGGGTCATAGGATCGAGGTTTCAGCGGCGTAGGGACGGAGATCGAGTCCTGACAGATTTGGCCACGACATACCCCCCCCCCGTGCATAATAATTAAGGACGAGAGGAAACACCTTTTGGATCCTCTTGGGAGACCCCCAGGGCCCGGGTTCCATGCAAATTTGTAGGCATTTTACAAACCCTCCCACCAAGTAACATGGAACCTGAAAACCGGTCCCTTTCAAACCTAAGGGACCGGACGGCTGACCACCAAGACATCGGAAAAACCAGGAAGCTCATAAACGACCACCACCTACAAGTCTACAGGTCCGAGACCTGCAAACCACAACAAGCCTCCTGTGAGTTGGTGGGCCAGAAGTTCCCAGCCAACGCTCGGGCCGCCTTTTTGTCATGCTTCAATGGTCCGTCGTTGTGTTGGCCAGTTTGGGGGTCTCGTCCTTTCGAGACAAATCAACATGGGAGCGACCACCCTCCCGACCATGGATGGATTTTTGATATGAAAGGGGTTGGGCTTCAGCGGATTGATCGATATTTTTTTTCCAGGCGCCTGCTTTGGACCTAGTCTCTCAGAGCCCGGTGGTCTCCCGTTTAGCCTCTAGAAAAACCTGGCTCAAATTCCCAAGCCACCAATCCAAGCCAGCAACTAACGTTTGTCTAAGCCACCAATCCAAGCCAGCAACTAACGTTTGTCTAAGCCACCAATCCAAGCCAGCAACTAATGTTTGTCTAAGCCACCAATCCAAGCCAGCAACTAACGTTTGTCTAAGCCACCAATCCAAGCCAGCAACTAACGTTTGTCTAAGCCACCAATCCAAGCCAGCAACTAACGTTTGTCTGAGTCTCTCTTCAGAAGGGCCTTGTTAGATTGGCAAAAAATGCTTCCACCACACTCGCCGTCTGCCTGAAGCAGCCTTAAACCTGCAGTGAGCAAATAAATCACACATTCCCTAGTTGCCCCAGTGATGCCCTTCGGGATCGATTCCATTTGTAATTACTTCGGACCCGCCACAAGCCGCCAAAAACGATCTGTCGGGAATAGCAACACAACCCCAAATCCACAAGGCCAGACTGTTCAAGCCATTCCAGCACGGTTTCTGCCCACGAGCCTTGCGGTTGCTCGGCGGTGAGCGTGCCTCCTGGCACATGCTCAAAAAGTATCTGCGGTAATCTGCAGGATAGGCGTCATAGAAATCAACGGAAATCTTACAAATGAAGGTAGGGATCCCTCCAAGGAAACCACAAGTTTTATCTCTCATTCCCTATCTGAATTATAGGATCCCCAAAGGACCACCACGGGTAAGAGCTCACTCTACCCTTAGGTGCAACTCAAAGCTGGGATAGGCTTCGAGCCATACAGCGAAGAGTTATAACAATTGGGTCTGTCGTCTTTTGAGGCTACCTTTTTGGATGTTGCCTTCAAAGGTGAAACCAAACTGTCCTCAGATTCCTTGCTACAAGGTGTACCCTTTCATGTGTTAAATCTTGGGTGCTGTAGATCCCCCAGCAAAAAAGTTTAGCTTGTTGCTGGTTGAAAGGAAATATGAGGGGAATCCAAAAAGTTAAAGTTTAAGGATCCAACCTAATAGCAGTAGAGAAATGGAACCCCTCACCAAACCGGAGGAACCTCCAAAACAAAAAGGAACCGGACAAAACCCAAAAACCACCAAGCCGCCATGGCCGCCTTCGTTCTGGTCGGTGTGGGGCTGGCCGGCATCTCGTCCCTTGCCTGGTTGAAGCCAAGCGCGGGCGGGGGGGGCGGGGGGGAATTCGAGTGGCTGAACAAAGCCTGCAACAGAGGAAATAGATGAGATGAAGCCCTAGGAATACTGCAGTAGCTGGACAAATTAATCAAACCGCCAATGTCAATGTTACACTAAACACAAGCGCTGTTCATGTCATCGGGGTTTGATTTAATTCGTCCACCCAGCCCGACCCTCCAAACGGGCAATAACATTGAATTTGGGGGCCGAGGGGGGGGGCGTTACAACTGCAAGGGTTTGATTAAATCGTCCACCTACGGTAGGATGAGCCATGGCTCAGTTCACCCCAAAGCTCGATACAATTTGCCATGTAAGCAGCCCGGGTCCTGTCAACAAGCCTCTTGGCGGCAACTCAAACCTCCGTTTGGTCCTTCGGGGGAGAACGATGCTAGGCCAAAACTGGAGGAGTCTTTGCGGAAGCTGTGTCTTGGGGTGACAGGGGCAATTTTACGAGCAGTACGCGCAGCAACAAGAGTGTGTGTGTGTGTGTGCGTGTGTGTCGGAAACCAGCCCAACTCCCTAGGCCAAACAGCTTACCCACAAGCCACCCACCCACCAACATCTAGCAACAAACCAACCAAGCGGCTCCATGAGGAGCTTCGAGAACACAGCCCCCCGCCTGGGCCCGATCTGCGGCCTAGCGCTCAGGTGCATCAGATTCCAACCCCTCCCCTTGCCCTCGTGGAGTCGTGCAACAATGGTTTCCAAACTGAAGTGTTTGCAAGGTGACCCAGATCAAAATGCTTAAGGTCCTTAAGGTTTGCTTGTTGCCCAGGGCAAAAAAGCACGCTCCCCCAGCCTTCTTCTCTTTCTTGAGGCTGTCCTGCGCGTGATTCAGCTGAAGGACCCATTGCTGAAGGTTCCGAATGAAACATTTAGAGCCATTGACATTGCCCAGGAACATCAAAACCAGCCCTTAAGCCGATGGACGCTAAAAGAAAAGGAACTCCTTTCCGGAAATCTCAATCTGCCTGGCACAACCGGGTCGTCGGCCTTCCCAAAGGTGATCCGTGTTAAAAGGGAACCCAGCCATGACCAAAACCCTGCAACAAAATACTCCCTCCAAAAAGGTCCGGACTTTTTGTTTACAAATGAAATGGTCCAAACAACAAACATATACATTCCACGAAGCGAGGAAAACATAGGGACCAAGATAATTCAAATGCGGGCATGGGCTTTTAAGGGGAAAACTATTGTACGTACTTGCTTGAAAAACACATCCACATTTTGCCAAGGCCTGTTGACGAAAACTATGAACAATTAATATCATAATATATATATATATATATTATTTATTTATTTGATTTCTCTTTTTTTGTTGGGGGGGGGGTTGGGGGGCTATCGCCAGCCAAGGATAAGCCCTTAACACCTTATCAAGCATCTTAAAACAACAACAACAAAACAAAAAAACGACCCCCCCCGTTCGCCCCGCTCGGGGGTCAATGAAAATAGTTTCGTCCCTCGGCCCCGGCCCACAGCCCACAGAAGACTTGGGCTGGGCTGCCGGGCTGCGAGCTTCACCCATGGGTGGCACATGGCCGCGTGCACCGTGATGCCTCAGACTTGAGACGCGGCGTCCCGCGCATCGAGCTGCTCCCGACCCCGAAACTCACAGCGGGAGCCCGTTTGTTTTCAACCTAAACCAGAAAACCAAGGTACAAGAATCCGAGCTTGGAGGTGGAGAACTGGGCTTTCAGGAACGCAATTGCCGCTCTTTTTGGCCGACCTAAATGGCGCAGCCGGGGGCGAGGGGGGGGGGGTAGGGGTGAGAGGGGGGGGGAGGGGGGGGGGGGGGGAGGGGGGGGGCATATGCGCATTCATGAGTTAGAAAATCCCACCCCAGCACCCTGCCCGCCCGATCCAAACGAGGCCCGCACGATGCTTGGGATCCACTCGCAGGGCCTGGCGCAGGAAGTCCCAGCAAGCCTCACCTTGGATCGGCGCGGGGTCTGACCCGATTTGCCCCCCAAGCAATGGTTGGCCGTGATGAAACCCCTCAAATAGGAACCTTACAAATGTTGGTGTCTAAAACATCAGATCAAAACTGCACCTGAGTCAAAATCAAAACGGATCGGTACAACAAGGGTGAACCAAAAACCAAAGATTCGCCAAGGCGGCCGCACCTATTTATGGTTCTGACAGTCCCCTACCAAACTTCACTTACCCGGGTTTTGATTGCGACTCAGGTGAGCAATGGCGAGTACAAGAGTTGCGTAGAACCACCACACCCAACTGGGATTCGTCCGCTTGAGAAGCGTTCGCCTTTCTTTTGACTCAGCGGTTTCCGCTCTCCAGCTGGCTTTCTTTGTTTTCCCAGCTACCTAGCAAAAAGGAGGGCTGACTCCAAGTAGGTGCCCCTTCCTGCTTTCTTTGGGTATTCCTTTCAGGTTGGCTTGAAGGGGAAACATCCCAAATGGAAGTGCTTTTTTGGAGGGACCCGAGATCGGGGGGTGGGTTTTCCGCGGTTTTCGTTTTTTAAGTACCCGTAAACAACAAAAAAGAACCCCGCCCAAATCCCGCAAGGTTGTGCGAGAGGCCCGACAGTCCATAGCAAATAACAAGGCGTACAGGGGCCGATAGTGTTCGCGGGCTTTTCCATTTCTGGGGGGGGGTCCTTTTCATAGTGGGTGCAATCCCAGGGTTGAGTTTGAGCTGCAGTGTTGGGAAGAGATTCAGGCGACCCATGGATTGCAACGCATGAGCCTTTGTTGCTATGGATGGATTTGTCCAACTCTTCGAAGTCATTGGTCCTGACATGGCAGGTTATGATCGAGGTGACGGGACCAAAAGTGGGGCTCTCGGCAGGTTCCAGCATGCACCGCGGCATATTCATGCGTGTAGCAGCAAAGAACCGATTGAGAACCGGCCCAACAGGTCGGTCAATAGATATCGACAGATCCCCAATGCGGGTTCTCCAATGGCCAGGCATGGGCGAAGGACGCCAGACGCAGACTGGCTTTCAACTTCCGGGGCAACGCACCACCCCTTGCAACGAATGGAAACTCTGACTGAGTCTCCCCCCGGAACCCGAGCTCAGGCTGCGGCTGACGTCCCGCGGTCGCGACTCCAGCGAAGGCGGACCTTCGTTGATTTGTCTAGTCAATCCGTGGTCACTGGTGGGTATCAACGCTGAAAAGGCTGCCGAAAAAAAAAGAAAAAAAAAGAGAGAGACATGGGGCTCCTACATTCAAAGAACAAGTTGATATATCTTTTTGACACAAGCGGCCCAGCCCGCGGAAAACAAATACTGGACTCTTGGCTCTACATGGAGAGGCTACCGATGCGGTGGCTCAGGAGCAGTCCAAAGTCACCAGCGGCCTAGCCTGCTTTCCTTTAATTGGTCGATTGGTGGTTTGGTGGTTGAGGAGGGGTTTCCCATTTACCCTCTGCAAAAGCCACGGGCTAAAATCCCCAAACCACCAATCCAAATCGCCCTTACCTACTTCTAATTTAGCCTGACAATCCCGAGAAATATGTCTTTGCAAAAACGAAGTCACGAAGGCTCCCCTTCGCGCTTCGAGCTGGGCTACTGACACACGCTGTTGATCTCCTGGCAAAGGAGAGCACGCTTTGATTACAGGAGAGGTGTACACTTTGGTCGAAGTCTGCTCAAGCAATGGCTGATCCGTTTAAAGCGGAGCCAAAGGAGAACGGGTGGCGGGGTGAACTTGGATCGGGCGTCACGAACAATCTAGCCACATCAAGCGCGCCGGACTGGGAAACGATGCCCAACACCAATGTCTCACTGGCTGAGTGGATGGCCCAAACAAAGTCCAAACTTTATATTTCCCCCTAAAATGGTCTTCCCAAAAAGTTTAAAGTCCATGAACTCAGGAAGTGAGATGATGAACAGCGGACCCCAATTGGAACCAACAAATGGTCCCACAGATGGGACCAACCCCTTCCCCCCAACACCAACGCCAGAAGGGAGACGTGCTTTAGCTGTGCGGACTGGCACCGTGCACGCTGCTTCTTCAACTCGGCTGAGTTCACTGAGTGGTTCTTGCTTGCCCCAGCAAAACCTTGAAGGGAAGCCTTTTACGGCCATGACGATGAAAGGACTGGCAGTCCCCTGATCTGCTTGGTGCCCTTCATCTTTTGGCAAATGCTAAACAAGGGGCCGTCCACCTTCCTGAGAATCAGCTCACACTGGGCAGCGACTCGCCGTCGGTCCTTCAGAAGCCACTGCTGCTTCAAAGTCGTTGCTCTGTGCGGGTCATGCTCGGAGAGCATGGTCCTGTGGCGGGCTCAACGCCCATTGATAAAGAAAATGCGCAGATGTAGGGAACACCTAGGAGAACAAGGAGAACCGCTGTAATCGCAAGCTCCCAGGATCGAAACTTTGCAGATCATTCTCTTCAGGGTGCTGGCACGCATTGTTTTTCATTTCCCATGGATGTTTGCAGCGTGGTTCCAAAACTTTAGCAGCCTTGGCAGCCTTGGTGTGTGTGACAGCTTGTTTGAAGTCGTTTCAGCCCTCCATCCAACCATGCCTGAAGCTGACAGTGAAGTGTGGAAAGTCATCCTTCCTTTTAAGGAAACGCCCAGGTCTATTTCCATGACTGTTGGAAAAAGGGCATGCTCATTTCTCTGAGAACATCCAGATTGCTCATTCTGACCTGTCATTGACAAGTTTTGCAGGTCCCTTTGAGCCACCTGCTGATTAAGTGAAGATACGAAGAGGCGAGCACAGTGACCCAACCCAGCCATTCTCAAAACCAAGCTTTGATTGACTCATTCGTAAGTCTCATTGTGTTGCTTGGAGGTGATGTGGTGGCTCTCAACCATGAGGAGCACGAGGAACCCGTAAGACAGGTCCGTAAAACATTGCCCAATACGAGGAACTGTCCGTTGACGACTTGGGTTGCAGAAACACGCAACCCGGCACAAGCCAAATGCAGTGCTATGGCGTGGTAGGCAACCTGCGAATTCCAAATACCTCACAGGCTTTCATTGTGCCTGGCGATTCCCACCGGATGGCTGGAATGCTTTCCCCCCCATTTCCTGCAACGTACCAGTCCCACGTCTTTACTGGCACTTCAGAACTCCGTGTGTTCAAACAAAGTCCTTACATAGCCCCTCTTTCATTGCCCATGGATTCCTCCTGTTCAAGGGGCAGTGCTGTAACGAACAAAGCAACACATAAACCTGTCGCACGCCCCACGGTGGGCAGTTCAAACAAAGGTGCTGGCGCATCCCCAGCTGCCTCTGCACGCAGAGACGCCCTATGGTTCAGCCCCTATTAAAAGAAAGGTTGACCCAACTTGGATTAGGTAAACAATGGTGATATGAGCCCC